AAATATAGGATTATTATAGGGCCCAATTATATTCCCATTAATATAATTATAATATATATTATACCACTATTACAGGGCGGGGGCAGCTTCTAAACTATATAGGCTCAGGTATAACACGAATTCAAACAATAATCCGAACTCGGCAACCCGACTGTAAATGCTAGCCATAGAATATAGGCTTGCCGGAGGCTTCTGGGTTCTAATAAGTGGCCAATTCAAGGCTAATAAGGGGCTGTTGAAACTAGGGTTGTACAAGGCTCACACGACTCTGCTAGGCAGGGGTTTGGATTGTAGATACTAGAAAGAAGCACCCGATATATGTACATGTATTCGAATTCTAGCTATATATATATATATATATATATTTTTATTAAATATATGCCTACACTACAGCTTTTTGTAATTCACATGTTGCAAATAAACATACGATGCCGGATTCGATAGTGCAAGTCAGGCTGCAAAAGTGCGGCAGTTGAGTTCCCGTCGACATTGACTGTTCCCGAAAGCTTGACAGTGTTGGTGTCAACATTGGCCGTCTGGAGCGATGCTCCATCCCAGACAAGGTACTGTGTGTGTGGCTGGCTTTGCGGGAAGTCCGGGTGAGGCATATACCATGGGAAGCCGGGTTCGGCATCGCCTTCGGTTGCCTGCTTCTGGTGTTTCTCCTCGGCTAACTGTTTTGCATGAGCTTCGCCATGCTTCTGTACGAGGTCACTGTAGGAGGCATACACCATGTTGCTCCGTTTCTTGCTCTTGCTTGTGCGGCAGGCTTCCAAGTAAAGCTCGCTTTTGAGCCAGTTTCCGCCGGACTCGGTGTACTGCTGCACCAGGTAGTCGAGCACTTTCTTGTCTTAGTTATCGGATTAAATGCCCACTTTTATTTGTACCCCACCACCTACAAAAAATACCTGGCCCTCTTATATGTTATTTTATTATATACACGGATAATAATATATAATATATATTATTATCATATTATGATTATAATATATATATATATATATATATATATATATATATATATTATTTAATATATTATGTGTACATATATGTTTAATTTGAAACAATAAGATGCTGTAACACGGGTCAGTCACTACGGAACCGCTTCGCAGCAACCTCTGCGACGGCTGGTGGCAAGTCTTCGCCTGGCTGTCTCGGGTAGGGTTTAGGGTTTGGGGTGTAGGGTTTTAGGGTTAGGGTTTTTTTTGGGGGTGTAGAGTTTAGGGTTTAAGCTATATAGTACCAAAATAGATAAGTGGCTCTCCAAAGATCGCTCCATTCGCAGCCTGGCATTCCTATGCGACAGCCTAGCCGCCCTCTGTTCCGGGTCTCAATCTTCTTGGCTCTGCGGGAGCCAACTTCCTAGGTGTCAATATAAATACAGATCTAGAACTTTATTTAAAATTAGAACTATTTAGCTTTAATTAGATTATAACCTATCGTACTATGTAGCAAACAGCTGCATTCGAAACCCCACACCCTGAACCCTTAGCCCTACAGTAGACACAGAACCACTGCAGGTATGCCGGCTAGAAGCTAAAGGCTTAAGGTTGATCGCCTCAAGGTCCATATAACACCCCGCCCCAAAGCTTTATGGACGGTGAGCTAGCCATAAGGTAAACATATATATTGAATAGAATCGAAAGAGCCCTGTTTCGTTATTCAGGGAAAGACTATATAATATATAATTTAGCGACATACACTATATGTCTCATCACTGCTTGACCCCATGTATAGTATAATTATATAACCGGGCTCTTTCGATTCTATTCGAATTCAATATATATTTTTACAATAGCGGGATAGTGGGTAGAACCTCCTGCCCGAGCTGCAGCCAGACCATCATCAGCCAACAACCCAGTCGGGTCCTGCGAGTGGGCTTCTCATCGTGTTGTAGTGGGCTGTTTTTCTCATCGCTAGCTCTACGTGTGAGCAGATCATCATGTTATCTCATGAATTTAATTTGCAAGATTATGCTTCGATTGGGTCCGAGATGTGGGCATTATTCACAAGCAAGATGCTATCCCGTAACCTGATCCTTGAAACACTAACCTGATAGTATAGACTCTTAGCTCTAGTCCCTTCTTAGACTCATGAGACCCAAGGAGAGCTGCCTCGATGTCCTTGCGAATGCTGTCTGGATCCATCACATCGGGAGCTGAGGCCTTCGGAATCGTGTTGAACTTAAACGATGGCTTCGGGTGTGAGCGATAATAATCTTTAGATGGTCTGCCAGGCTCCTTTGGGCTGCTTTCAAGGATCATGTACTGATAGGCAAAGATAATTGGTGCACAGTGGAGACCGAGGGAAAGACAGGGCAGGGCAGGGAAGTTTACCCGCTAGGAGATTGTGCTTATGTGCACCGGCAAGCCTTCTCCAACTCATGTTCCAGATCCTCCATGACCGTAACCGCGAACTCATCGGGCTGATCCTCGTAGTCTTTCATGTGTAGGGGTTCGGATAGTGGCTCAAGGTCGTTTGGGCATTAAGGTTCTTGTCTCTAGTTAAAGATTACAAGGGGCTTGGAAGACAAAACCGAATTCGTTGTGATACTTTGCAACTTGTTTGCAGATTAGCATAAGATATTAATTATAAATATAGCTAATCGATATGATGATATTTATTCGTATTCGTATAATTATTTTACTGGAATGCTAATTAATAAGACTAGCGACTGCAGCAGTGGTGCCGCTCGCCGGAGCCACCGGAACCGGGGGGACAGAAGCTGCTGCTACAACCGTCGTTGCACTAGGAACCGTAGCCAAAAGCCCTGTGGTCGAGCTAACCACGTGCACATTTGCTGGAAGAGCCGGGCTTCGCACTGTTGCAATCGGGGGACATGCAGCTGCTGCTGCAACCGTTGCAGGAAGAAGCGGGCTTGGCACTGCTGGGGCAGACACTGTCGGGGGCACACTCGCAGGAAGAACCGGGTGTGGCACAGCTGGAGCTGGTGTAGCAACCGTAGACGAAGGGCCTGTGGGGAAGCTGGGCAAGGCGGCGGGCACCACACTTGTTGCAAGAACCGGGCTTGGCACTGCTGGAGCAAAGCTTTGAGCTGTTGCTAGAACAGTCGTTGCAGTAGGACGGGCAGGGCCTGTGGTGGAGCTGGGCACAACCGACGGGCTAGAAGCTGCTGCCACAACCGTCGTTGCAGTCGGAACCGTAGCCGTGGAGCCTGTGCCGTAGCTAAGCATCACCGTGGCCGGCACACTTGCTGGAAGAACCGGGCTTGGCACTGCTGGAACCGAGGGGTTGGAAGCTGCTGCCACAACTGTTGCTGCAGTAGGAACGGCTGGGCTTGTGGTGGAGCTAGGCACAACCGCACTTGCTGGAAGAACCGGGCTTGGCACTGCTGGCACCGAAGGGTTGGAAGCTGCTGCCACAACTGTTGGTGCAGCAGGAACGGCTGGGCTTGTGGTGGGCACAACCGCACTTGCCGGGCTTGGCACTGCTGGAACCGAAGGGTTGGAAGCTGCTGCCACAACTGTTGGTGGAAGAACCGGGCTTGGCACTGCTGGAACCGAAGGGTTGGAAGCTGCTGGCACAACTGTTGGTGCAGTGGGAACGGCTGGGCTTGTGGTGGGCACAACCGCACTTGCCGGGCTTGGCACTGCTGGAACCGAAGGGTTGGAAGCTGCTGCCACAACTGTTGGTGGAAGAACCGGGCTTGGCACTGCTGGAACCGAAGGGTTGGAAGCTGCTGGCACAACTGTTGGTGCAGTGGGAACGGCTGGGCTTGTGGTGGGCACAACCGCACTTGCTGGAAGAACCGGGCTTGGCACTGCTGGCACCGAAGGGTTGGAAGCTGCTGCCACAACTGTTGCTGCAGTAGGAACGGCTGGGCTTGTGGTGGAGCTGGGCACAACCGCACTTGCTGGAAGAACCGGGCTTGGCACTGCTGGCACCGAAGGGTTGGAAGCTGCTGCCACAACTGTTGGTGCAGTAGGAACGGCTGGGCTTGTGGTGGAGCTAGGCACAACCGCACTTGCTGGAAGAACCGGGCTTGGCACTGCTGGCACCGAAGGGTTGGAAGCTGCTGCCACAACTGTTGGTGCAGCAGGAACGGCTGGGCTTGTGGTGGAGCTGGGCACAACCGTGGCCACACTTGCTGCAAGAACCGGGCTTGGCACTGCTGGCCCGGAAGCTGCTGCCACAACTGCTGTTGCAGTAGGAACAGCGGGGCTTGTCGTAGGCATCGTAGGAGCCGTCTCCAACATTCCGGCCTCAGCTTTCAGCTAGTATAATATATAATAATATATATATATATATATACATAAGTATAATATATATATATATATATATATATAATTATATATATACATGTATATATATATATATATACATGTGTACATGTGTGCCCATATATATCATGATCTATAGATATGCAATATATATATATATGTTATACACATATACATATATATATATATATATATATATTGCATAGATCATGATTTACGGGCACACATGTACACATGGTTCATGTACATGTACACTTATAATTAGTGTATATTGTAGACACACATGTATATAAACATGTACGTGTATTAAGTATAATAATATGCTAGCTACATGTTAGTAATTATTATTATCCGTATGAACTAGTTACATACACACACATGTATATATATATATATATATATATATTATTATATTATATACACATGTACATGTACCATATCTAGATATACACTTCGCTTCTCGTCATAAGGATAAGAATACACTCCATGTACATGCAGTCATGATTAGAATAGTGGCCATGATCATAATAATATGTATGCACAATGTACTAACATGGCGATTATTTATATATATACTAAATATATATATATATATATATATATATGTATGCAGACGTACATGTAATGTGTACATATATATATATATATATATATACATACAATATAGTATAGTATTATGTTGCATGTGTACACGTGTCTAGTAACAGAACGAAGCACAACTGGCCTTGCTAGGTTAATAAATCTAAACTTTGCCGTTCTTTAGCTTGCATTCCCAGGGACCTCGGGGTTGTAGGCGCCCACCTCCTCCTGGGTGTCCTCGACACTCGTCTTTTGGGTGTCGCAGGGTTCGGTGGGTGTCAACACGTTCCCTTCAGCGAGTGGCTCCACAACAGGCCCAGGCAGCTTTCCCTTTTGAGGAGTGGCGAGCAGCTGAAGTGCTGATGTATTCTCGATGCGAAGAGCTTCGAGCTGAGCCGCATCCATCTCCATCCAAAGCTGCACCATCTCCGTCAGCTTTGCAGCCATATTGCCATTCTTGAAAAGTCCAAAGACAAACAGCTGGGAAACTGCCCAGGAGGCAGCCACTTGATCTTGCCTCAGCATCTCGCTGATCTTCTGCTTCTCCAAGACAGAGTTCTGCTTCGCCTCCTCGAGCCAACGGTCAGTCAGCTGTAGCTTGCGAAGAACCACGGGGTCGTCCTGCGGATACTCATTCAAACACCTTTTCATTTTGTTGGCTGTAGCTTCCAGCCGATCCTCATCTCCAGCCAGCTTGTCCAGCATGAAGACACTATTCATGCTGTTCCGGACACTCAGCTGGGCCTCCAGCACACCCTCGATCAACATCCGGTTCTCGCCGAGCACCATATCACTCATGGCCTCGCCCGGGAAATCACACTTCATCCAAGTGAGCATGTTCTCCAGGCCCACGGACGGAGGCTCCATGAGGGTCGCACCTTCGTCACGATGCCAAAAGTAAAAAGCTGCAACGTGTGCATCCACAGCTTCGGCCATGAAACTCTTGATGCTCATCAGCTTGGGCTTGTACGGGGCATCACCTAAGGTTTATGGCCACATGTGTGCTATACATGTTAATTAATAATTATATATTTATATGTTCGTGATCATCTACTAGTCTACACTGAGGATGTATAAAAATACCACAGATGTCCAGCTCAATGCTATATGTGTGTGGATATGTACCTGCTATATTATATGTATATATATATACATCGTACATACGTATATAATATTATAGAATTGTATAATTAATAGTAGTACTAGTACATGTATGCATCATAAAACATATAATGTGTGCAAGACACTCGCCGTCCCAGCAGAGCCGTCACACTTGGTCCGCTTTGGGTCGGGGCTGCGAGCATCCGCTGGCGAAGCCACAATTGCAAGCTTTGCCCTGTTCTTGGTCTCGGGGGTGCCGGTCATCGGTGGCTCCATGGGGGGTGCAGCTGAAGCTTTCGCAACGATCGGAGCAGCCGGAGCTGTCCCTCTCGACTCACCACTCTCTGGCATGCCTCCGGGAGCCGGCGCTTTGGCCACAGAAGCCACAGGGTTGCCTGCTGGGTTGCACATATACATGTGACATGCAACATAAGTATATAGCATGCATGCTATGTATATATATATATATATATATATATATATATATATAGAGATAGCTATATATAATTAGATATAACATAATAATATATATGTATGTATATATATACACGTACATATATATTAATTTATAATAATATATATATACATATATATATATATATATATAATTATATATATACTATATATATAATATATCTATATATATATATACTATATATATATATATATATATATAAGTAGATCATATATATACATATATATAAAGTAGATTATAATATATGTCTAATAGCTATAGCTATAGTATAGTCTATAATATAACTTTTCCGTATATATATATATATGTATGTACATATGTATATATACATGGTCCAGCTACTTCAGTCTCATGTACACATAGTATAAAGTGTTATATATATATAATATAATTTATACTATGTGTACATGAGACTGAAGTAGCTGGACCATGTATATAGTTGCATACAGAGATTGAACTACATAAATAAATATATATATATATATATATATATATATAAATTTCTAGATATTCTTATAATATTGTAGGATATCAACTATATGTATACTGTTTATATTTTAAGCATACCCCAATTGCTAACTAACTATCAGGTCCGATGGGCCTCCTTTGGCTTTTCCCTTGAAGCCGGCGGATTGCAGAGCCTTCGCCACCTCCTCGTCGATGTCGAGGTCAGACGAGGATGCTCTGCTGTAAGGTCCGGGGCGTTTGGGTCCCATGGCTTACGTGAAACCTGCTAGGTTAGGGCAACGAGGCAGCAAGGGAAGGGTCTACGTAGAGGCGTGAAACGGCCCGGTGTGCGGAAGCATACGGAAGCATACGGGAAGCATACCGGAATCCGCATAAGTACTTCCTATTTATGGTTTTGAGGCCTCGGAAGCATACGGAAGCATACGGAAGCATATCGGAAGCATACGGCGTGTTTCGGGCAACAGGGCATGAACAAACAGTCCCCGAGGCACCTAGCTCAATTCTGGGTCACTTGCGGTTATGGTCCGTATAGAAATTACAAGGGCGGGGCTTACTGCGGCACGGCTGGGCACTATACAGCTCATCCACTGAGGGCTCTGGGTCCATGATATCATTGTATTTTAGGTTTTGCTTAAGGACTGGAGCAAACAATCCTGTAGGAAGCTTTCCGGTTAGGCGGCCGGGCTCGGCGGGCCACGTAAAGCCCTCGTATTTAAGGTTTTGCTCAAGAACCGGAGCATACAATCCTGTAGGAAGCCTTTCCGGTTAGGTGGCCGGGCTCGGCGGGCCACGTAAAACCCTCGTATTTAAGGTTTTGCTCAAGAACCGAAGCCAAACCATCCTGTAGGAGCCTTTCCGGTTAGGCGGCTGGGCTCGGCGGGCTACGTAAAACCCTAGTATTTATGTTTTTGGGATATACAGAGTAGAGAGCAGGTGCTAGGTGATCAGGGAATAGTGTTTCTGATGGGTTTGCCGAGCATAAGTAGGTGTGAGGCAGGTCCTGGATATAGCTTTGGCCTGGTCTTCCTACATCTGACTTAGCAGTTGGTGTGCATACATATAATATATATAATATATAGAGATTAATATATATTTATATATATACACTATATCATTAGTTAGTACTAGTATAATGCATGCACCTGCATGTATGCACACCAACTGCTAAGTCATATAGTTTATTTTTATTGAGTAGTGAGGGGACACTAGCTTACGAAAATGTAGTTGTGGTTCAGGATCGATTGCTTGACTTGGGTCGTAGTCAAGCTAGGTAATACACAAACACACACACACAGACACTTGCTTAAGATTGCGGTAGCTGACCAGCACAAGATAAGACATATGCTGTCTCGGGACAACCTAAATTGCTCTAGACTACTGACACTGTTGTTACTGCCCTCACTAGCCTGCAACCCTTGCATCAGTCGACCGACATGCAAGCTGGCATGCTCCCGAAACGGTCTTTCGCTCCAGCTCGTTGAACTTCGGGTTGTCTCTGAATTTCTATTAGTTGCGACGATTAGACGTAGACCGCAAGACACCAGGCCATAGCCCTATATGTAGAAATCAAGGAGTACTGCCATGTCTAGATGAATCTATGGCCTAGTGTCGTGATCACTTAGAATACGGTCCACGATGGGCACCTGGGATGCAACAGCTTCGGGCCAACTCTTCGCTCTGAGGCTGTTTCGTTTTGGATATTAAGACTACTATTGGGTGTACTATCTATAAGTAGTAGTACTAGTACTAGTACTAGTACTAGTACTAGTACAAGTAGTAGGTAGGTAGTAGTAGTAGTAGTAGTAGTAGTAGAAGGAGCCGGTTGAAAGGACACTCAGCACGTTGAGGTGTATGTTCGCTTAGAGGTGATCAGTGTGCTGTTTTGTGTCCTTCCTTCCAGGCTAGTAGTAGTAGTAGTAGTAGTAGTAGTAGTAGTAGTAGTAGTAGTAGTAGTAGTAGTCCTATAAATAGCAGGAGTAGTAGTAGTAGTAGTAGTAGTAGTAGTAGTAGTAGTAGTAGTAGTAGTAGTAGTAGTAGTAGTAGTAGTAGTAGTAGTAGTAGTAGTAGTAGTAGTAGTAGTAGTAGTAGTAGTAGTAGTAGTACACTGTCGTATATACATATAGTATAGTAGCAGCCGCAGCAGCAGTAGTAGTAGTAGTAGTAGTACTAGTACTAGTACTAGTACTAGTACTAGTACAAGTAGTAGGTAGGTAGTAGTAGTAGTAGTAGTAGTAGTAGTAGTAGTAGTAGGAGCCGGTTGAAAGGACACTCAGCACGTTGAGGTGTGTGTTCGATTAAAGGTGATCAGAGTGCTGTTTTGTGTCCTTCCTTCCAGGCTTGTAGTAGTAGTAGTAGTAGTAGTAGTCGTAGTAGTAGTAGTAGTAGCAGTAGTAGTGGTAGTAGTAGTAGTAGTAGTAGTAGCAGAAGTAGCAGTAAAGGTAGCAGCAAAGGTAGTAGTCGTAGTAGTACGTACTAGTAGTAGTAGTCGTAGTCGTCGTCGTAGTCGTAGTAATATACATGTAAACACTTATAGTCTTTTATATATAGATAGTACTAGTGTGGTATGTGATCGTCCTAGAAAGAAGGTCTGACAATATTAGTAAACTAAACCTTGCACTGCCAAGCACCTTAAGCTGAATCCAAGAAACGAGATCGCAAAAGGCCTACCCCGAATATTCCTTCCCACCACACTCATCACCCCCCCGGAACTAAGCTTTAAACCCCGAAAGCAGCCCTATGTTGAACCCTGAAACCCCGAATCTCATGCCTGAGCCGCCCAATGCGAGCTTCACTGCAAGGAGAGTCCGAGCGAAACCCTGGACACGTTCGACTTCTCAGAGGCGATGACTCTAAGGTGACAGTTAGAGTTCAGGGTTTGCAGGGGCCAGGCTTTCAGGTTTATGGTTTAGAAAAGGATACTTTCGTGCAGAAGGATCTAGAGCTGGGGTATTGAACAATTCCGGGGTTTGGTTGTAATAGTGTAGTAGTAGAAGTAGTAGACTGCTACTACTAGTAGTAGTACTACTACTACTACTACTACTAGTACTAGTACTAGTACTAGTAGAAGTACTCGCAGTGCACAGGTCCAGTACAAGCACTGCTTTGACGTGTACAGTACTAGTTCATCCGAACATCATTTTCACGCTCCCTGCACTCGATCCGATGCCGCACAGCACTTTGACCAATCCTCTGGACAATATATATATATATATATATATGACCCCCCACACACACAGAAGCATCAATCCATCTCATCCAGATGGTAGGGCACAAGGTCGGCAGGAGGAGCTTGCACAGACCCGTTCTCGTCATCTGCAGCTGCTGTGTCCTCCTGGGCGTGGCCGTCGGTTTGCCCTGTACCGGTTGCCTCACTATCGTCGTTGTTCTCGCCAACGATCACTGCCACTGCTGATTGCGAAGATGCTCCATGTGCAAGGTCACCGGCTTGAGGGGTACGAAACTGAGCATGCTCATGATTAGCACCATCGCACCGACGAGTATGGTAACGACCCATGGAAGGCGAGCATCTGCTGCAGCAAGTATCATGCCCTTGCCCCGACCAACGGTGGCAACCTCCCACCACACAGCGGCTCACCTGCCCGGTGCCGGCACGGTCACGTCGAGAAAGCCACCGTTGATGTCTGCGGCATCGCCTGGTGTGAGAAGAGCCTTGTGTAGCCGGGCACATAGAGCAGCAGTGTCGATGTCGGCTGCTCACGTAGTGAAGTGTGCAGCCTGCCGTGGAGCAACCACGATTTCCATCATGCTCTGCCGTAGCCATTGCTATAATGCTGCTCGTACCCTGTACTCCGAGTAGTAGTACGTATACTACCAGTACTCGTACTACTACTACGACTAGTACTACTACTATACTACTACGAGTACTACTAGTACTACTACTGCTACTAGCTAGAAATGCCTCTAGAGGATAGTACAGCTACCACTACCAGTACTAGTACTAGTACTAGTAGTAGTATATAAGTAGTAGTAGTAGTAGTAGTAGTAGTAGTAGTAGTAGTAGTAGTAGTAGTAGTAGTAGTACTACTACTACTACTACTACTACTACTACTACTACTACTACTACTACTACTACTAAATATTACTACTATATACTATTACGACAAGTAGCTATAGTACTACATGTACTACTATACTACTAGTACCGCTAATACTACTAGTACCGCTAATACTACTACTACTACTACTACTACTACTACTACTACTACTACTACTACTACTACTACTACTACTACTACTACTACTACTACTACTACTACTACTACTACTACTACTACTACTACTACTACTACTACTACTACTACTACTACTACTACTACTACTACTACTACTACTACTACTACTACTACTACTAACTTACTACTACTACTACTACTACTACTACTACTAC